AGAAGGGAAGGGAGAAGGAGGAAAAATAGAAATAAGAATAAAAGAGATAGAAAGGAGGATGGAAAGGAAAGAGAGGGAAGAGAGGAGAAGGAATTTGGTAATAAAAGGAATAGAGGTAAGGGAAGGGAAAAGGAAAGAAGCGGTAGAAGAATTAATGAAGGTTATAGAAGCGAAGGTAAAGATAGAAGAGATATGGAGGATAGCGGAGGATAGAGAAAAAGGAAGAGAGATAGTGGGGATAAGGCTGGAGAATGATGAGAAAAGGAAGGAGATATGGGAGAGAAAGAAAATGCTTAAGGGTAGAAAGGAAAGAATAGTAGAGGACTGGACATGGAAAGAAAGGAGGATGAGATGGAAATTGGAGGAGATAGCCAGGGAAGAGGAAAGGAAAGGGAAAAGTGTATGGATAGGATATGGGAGAGTAAGAATAAATGGGCAATGGTGGAAGTGGGATGAGGAGGAGGAGGTGCTAAGAGACGGGAAAGGGTGCACAAAAGTAGGGGGGCAGGGGGAAGGGAGATTGGGGAGGAGGGAAGCATGGGATAGAAGAGAGAAGGGAAAGGGACGGAAAGGTGAGGCGAGAGGACGGGAGGGAAAGGGAGTGGAGAATAGCCTTCTGGAATGTGGCAGGGGTGGGAAATAAGGATAAAGAATTCTGGGAGGGACTAAAAAATGGGAGGTAATAGTACTGATAGAAACATGGATGGACAAAAAAGGGTGGGAAAGGGTGAAAGAAAAGTTACCAAGAGGATACGAGTGGGGAGTACAAATGGCGGAAAGAAAAAATAAAAAAGGAAGGGCGATGGGAGGGATGGTAATGGGGATAAGAAAAGAGATGTTGGACAAAGGGAGGAAAATAGTAACGGAGAGAGAAGGGATAATAGTGGGAAGGATAAACAAAGGAAAACATAAATGGAGGGTGGTGGGGGTATACGTTAATGGGAATATGGAGGAGATGTTACAGAGCATGGAACAGTGGGTAGGGAAGAAGGAGGTAGAAGTGAGTACAATAATTGGGGGGGACTTTAATGCGAGAACAGGGGAGGAGGGAGGAGGTATAGAGATAGGGAAAGAGGGAGAGGAAGGAGGAGGGAAGGGGGAGGGAAGGAGAAGGAAATCGAAGGATAGGAAGATGAATAGGGAGGGGAAGGTGATGGTGGAGTTCTTGGAGGAAAGAGGATGGGGAATACTGAATGGATGCATAGAGGGTGAGGAGGAGGGGGAGTACACGTTCACAGGAGGAAAAGGGAATACGGTAATAGACTACGTAATAGCAGATGAGGATACGAGGGGGAAGATAAAAAGGCTAAGGATAGGAGACAACATAGAGTCAGACCACCAGCCAGTGGAGGTATGGGTTAAGGGAGAGGGACAAAGACAAAAAAGGAAGAGGAACGAGAGTAGGGAAAAAGGAAAAATATGGAGAGGAGTATGGAATGAGGAGGGGTGTAAAAAGTTCAAACAAAGGATGGAAGGGTTAAAATCGGGGGAAGAAGAAATGAGGGTAGAATGGGAAGGGATGGAGAGGAAGATGAAAGAGGCGATAAAGGAAGTGGAGCGGGACGTGGGGAAAGAGGAGGGGAAGAGGAGGGGATGGTGGGACAGAGAATGTGAGGAAAAGAAGAAGGAGGCAAGAAGGGAGTTAAGAGGATGGAGAAGAAAAGGAGGAGAAGGGAAAGAGTATAAAGAGAAGAAGAAGGAATATAAGGAAACGTGTGAAAGGAAAAAGAAAGAGGAAAATGAAAGATGGGAAAAAAGAGCAAGGGAAGTAAAAAGGGAGAATGAGGTATGGGAAAATAGGTAAATAGAGAAAGGAAAGAAGAACTAGGATAAATGATGGGATAGGAATGGAGGAGTGGAAAGAGTACTTTATGAGGCTACTGGGAGGGACAGAAGGAAAAGTAGTAAAGGGGGGAGAAAGGAAGAAAGAAGGGGAGGGAGAGGAGGAAGAAGAGATCA